CGTCACTCCAGAGAACGCGTCTCCACTGCTCTAGAGTCCAGTGGCGGCGTGCTTTACACCACCACATCCGACGCTTTGCATTGCACTTGGTGATGTATGGCTTGGATGCAGCTGCTCGACCATGGAAACCCATTCCATGAAGCTCTCTGCGCACTGTTCTTGAGCTAATCTGAAGGCCACATGAAGTTTGGAGGTCTGTAGTGATTGACTCTGCAGAAAGTTGGCGACCTCTTCGCACTATGCGCGTCAGCATCCGCTGACCCCGCTCCGTCAGTTTACGTGGCCTACCACTTCGTGGTTGAGTTGCTGTCGTTCCCAAACACTTCCATTTTCTTATAATACAGCTGACAGTTGACTGTGGAATATTTAGGAGCGAGGAAATTTCACGACTGGATTTGTTGCACAGGTGGCATCCTATCACAGTTCCACGCTGGAATTCACTGAGCTCCTGAGAGCGACCCATTCTTTCACAAATGTTTGTAAAAACAGTCTGCATGCCTAGGTGCTTGAATTTATACACCTGTGGCCATGGAAGTGATTGGAACACCTGATTCCAATAATTTGGATGGGTGAGCAAATACTTTTGGCAATATAGTGTATATAACCTACTGTAAATTAAGTTAAAATAAAGTTAACAAAAACTAAAAAAAGGTAAAAAAAAAAAAAAAAACAACAACAACAAAAAAAATCTCAAAGTTGAGTAGAAAGTAAAGTTAAAAATTAATAAGCCTTTAACAATTATATTTAGGTTTATAATCTAAAAAAATTATTGCCAGTATCAGCATTAATGTCTCTTAGGTTATGCTGTACCTATACTTAATATATACGGGCAAGTTGGCATTTCTTGTTATTACATCGACATACACTATATTGCCAAAAGTATTTGCTCACCCATCCAAATTATTGGAATCAGGTGTTCCAATCACTTCCATGGCCACAGGTGTATAAATTCAAGCACCTAGGCATGCAGACTGTTTTTACAAACATTTGTGAAAGAATGGGTCGCTCTCAGGAGCTCAGTGAATTCCAGCGTGGAACTGTGATAGGATGCCACCTGTGCAACAAATCCAGTCGTGAAATTTCCTCGCTCCTAAATATTCCACAGTCAACTGTCAGCTGTATTATAAGAAAATTGAAGTGTTTGGGAACGACAGCAACTCAGCCACGAAGTGGTAGGCCACGTAAACTGACGGAGCGGGGTCAGCGGATGCTGACGCGCATAGTGCGAAGAGGTCGCCAACTTTCTGCAGAGTCAATCACTACAGACCTCCAAACTTCATGTGGCCTTCAGATTAGCTCAAGAACAGTGCGCAGAGAGCTTCATGGAATGGGTTTCCATGGTCGAGCAGCTGCATCCAAGCCATACATCACCAAGTGCAATGCAAAGCGTCGGATGCGGTGGTGTAAAGCACGCCGCCACTGGACTCTAGAGCAGTGGAGACGCGTTCTCTGGAGTGACGAATCGCGCTTCTCCATCTGGCAATCTGATGGACGGGTCTGGGTTTGGCGGTTGCCAGGAGAACGGTACTTGTCTGACTGCATTGTGCCAAGTGTAAAGTTTGGTGGAGGGGGGATTATGGTGTGGGGTTGTTTTTCAGGAGCTGGGCTTGGCCCCTTAGTTCCAGTGAAAGGAACTCTGAATGCTTCAGCATACCAAGACATTTTGGACAATTCCATGCTCCCAACTTTGTGGGAACAGTTTGGAGCTGGCCCCTTCCTCTTCCAACATGACTGTGCACCAGTGCACAAAGCAAGGTCCATAAAGACATGGATGACAGAGTCTGGTGTGGATGAACTTGACTGGCCTGCACAGAGTCCTGACCTCAACCCGATAGAACACCTTTGGGATGAATTAGAGCGGAGACTGAGAGCCAGGCCTTCTCGTCCAACATCAGTGTGCGACCTCACAAATGCGCTTCTGGAAGAATGGTCAAAAATTCCCATAAACACACTCCTAAACCTTGTGGACAGCCTTCCCAGAAGAGTTGAAGCTGTTCTAGCTGCAAAGGGTGGACCGACGTCATATTGAACCCTATGGATTAGGAACGGGATGTCACTTAAGCTCATATGTGAGTCAAGGCAGGTGAGCAAATACTTTTGGCAATATAGTGTACATTTTTGCCATCAAAATATCCATATTTTCTCAATTTTACAAAGGTAATAAGGTCTTTTCCTGGATTCCAAGAACACTATTGGCTTGAAATTTAGATTTTCAAAGTATTTGCTCTATAAAGGGTTTAAACATTTTCTCCTTTCCCACATTCTAAAAAAAAAAAAAACAGTTTCAAAATATATCCACATGGAACTTTAATTTTTTAAGATACCCCTCTTTCCTTTTGTGTTATTTAAACAACAACAACTACACACAAAACTCAGTTCAGCATACTGTACAGTGCACCTCGCCATGGTGTCATCATTCCTCATGATGGCTGGTTCTAGACAGGGGGCCAGTGCCCCTGTAGATCATGTCCTGGCCCCTTTATGGCCCCTGTACTGAAGAAATTATACTTAAAAGAAATTCTAATTATGATCAGACATGGTTACTGATAGGTCTTTTGGATCTATTTCATTCTTTTTCTTTACAACTTCTGTTTGACTAATTATTCAAAAACAATAAGGCGATAGCTTCAATGGTATTGAGATAAGATCCCAGTTTGTGTCTCTTAAAGTTTTTTTTTCTCACAACACATAAAAAAAATGCTCTAATTTTTACAGTTTAATTTAAGACTTTTTCTTGAGTTCTAATTCAAACTTTATAGAAAATGGCAGTCTTAACTTAAATTAAGTCAGAAATATGTAAAATTCCTAAATTATAAATGTATATTGACCTCATAAGAAATGGAATTTTTATTGAACATAATTGAAAAGAAATTTCACTTCATGCAGCTCTCTTAATATATTTGAATCCCATGCCCCCTGGTACATTTGGTCTAGATTCACCACTGTTCCTCACCTTCACTAGACGTGGATATACTTTAGTATATTCTGCTGTAAAATTAGTCCTATATTTTCGTTTTTTACTCGAGGATTCAACCTCTGCCGTTTCACAGGATGCACAGCTTTGAGTGGTAACTAGGTGACTGCCGGAGAGTAACCCAGAGAAATTTATCGGGCTGATCCAATCAGCTCTCTGACAACCAGTCCCCTGGAACGCTATGTGAACAGAGCATCGCTTTGGACAGATACGCTGCACAGGTTTCAAAAGCAGGGGCAGAGCTAGATGGGGGGCCAGGGGTGGCCATGACCACCCTAAGTCAATCATTGGCAACCCCATTTTTTTTCTCTCAAGTAGAATATTCAAAACATTATTACTACATTATTAACAATCACTTGACAACAAAAACACTGTGGTTAATTATGCACATCAACATTAGAGATGATTAGTAAAGAATTCATGCTCTTTCAGAACTAGATTTTGTGTTATATGCCGTAAAGAGAAAATGATGTGTCTCTGCAAGTCATCTAAGAGTCTTCAGTGAAATTATAGATACTGTAAATAACTATTTTAACAAAAGCCTATTCAATTATCAATTTATGTAGATATTAGTAGGCTACTTGCAAATATCAATTTAATGTAGAATGAAATTGATAAAAGTAGGTAAGTAATGACGATGGAAAACATGTTCCCTCCAGAACTCAAACCTCAAAGAATTTTATCCAATATAGCTTTTATCTAGACGGATGTTTAAATATATGCATCTATTTGTTAGCAAAGACTGTAAGAAACTATAGTTTGTCTTTATTTAGGAATATGGACTTTTTGCTTGTTCCTGTTGGAACAGTGTAGATTGAGCCTGAGGTTCTGGTGCCAATCCACTTTTGGCCACCCCTCAGTGTATGATGGTTATTGCCTGGCCACCCTTATTTAAAGTTTCTGTTTACGCCTCTGTTCACCAGCAACCTCCTCCTCACACCCCACTCTCTCTTGTTGTCTGCGCAATCACAGTAGTTCTATAATTCGCACATGATGCACGAATTGTTGTATTGCCTGCCCGCTCTCACTCGCATTTAAAAAAATCACCACCTTGCATAGTCTAAAATCCGGGATAATTTATCCGACTCGCAGGCATCTGTGAACAACTATTTATATCTTTTTTTTTTATATAAACTTTATTACTTACAATACACAACAAGACACAACTACATTGTGAACATATCACAAAACAACAAAAACATTTGCCAGGGGGAGCATTAACAGAAAACAATAAAAGTATAATAAGAAATGACAAAATACTCTTGTTTAAAGGAAAACACTACCAAAGGTGACAAAAAATACGAGATGCCATAGTGAATTAACACAATACATTATCTAAAATTCCAATTTGATTGCAAGCCAAAAAAGTTGTTTTTGCTTTTTTATTTGTAGAAGGTCGAATTGTAAATATATGTTTAAATTCAATCAGAAAAACTGAAAAGTCAGGTTTTTTTCTCAAAAATTTGCATTTATGAAACAACTATTTATATCAGGGAGACTCCGGGAACTTCCGGGAGACTTGGGACGTAAACTCAGAGTGTAAACATGGGGGGGGGGTGCTTCCTGTTAAAGGACGCATGAACAGGGGGGTGTATTTCCATTCGGACGGCTCACAACCATGCTGCGGAGTAAGTAGTAATTTTCTACATTAATAGATTTAAATACAAACTTTTCCTTTTACTTAATTTATTTATAAAGGGTAGATCACAGTGGCTAAAATTAACCCATTAATTCCAACCATTGTTTTAGGTAAAAACCAAAACCTTTATAAGATCTGCTTTCTTTTAAAAACTCTGTTTATTATTTTTTTTCTTTAAATGTATTTCAAGATTCCGATCTCGATGATGTTCAACTGTCGGACCTCGATTTGGGTAAGGCTTTTAATAAGAAAGAAATTGAAAACAGAGGTTTGGTGGGAAAAAAACTAATCTTCACCGAACTGTGGTCTTTCCAGATCCCATCTCGGATAATCGAAGAGAGAGGCCAACTTTTTCACAGAATGATAATAATCCGGCTTTGTTTGGAGGTTTTTCTCTGACGGATGAACAGGACGGACCCCTCTCCATCCAGCGGTTCCAGAGGTTCCAATCTGCTGCGCATCCTCCCCGAAGCATCCAGGGAGCTGCTTCTCCGGGCTCCCGCGCTGGTTCCAGCGCCTAGCTCCCTCACACCCGATCAGACCGTCAATGCACAGCTCGCTCAAACCACCCAAGAGGAGGTAAGCTTATTCAGAGGCGTAGCCAGAAAATGTATATTAGGGTGGCCAGGCAATAACCAATGTATATTGAGCGGTGGCAGCAGAACCTCAGGCTCAATCTACACTGTTCCAAAAGGGAAATTAACCTGCAAAAACTCCATATTTTACAACATCCATCTAGATAATGGATCAATCCTTTCAGGTTTAAGTTCTGGGGCAAACATCTTTTGCATTGGCATTACTTAAAGGGGAATGCCGTTTTTTTTACACTGGGCCCTTGATTTTACGTTATTACATCATGTTCTACTCACCCATATGAGTTTTGTGTCATTTGAAGCTGTGAAGATATTCCGTTAAGTCATATCCAAGTAACGTCTTCCTATGGGTAACGACTTGAAGGCACAAACTAAACTGTTCATAATTTATCATTTATGGTACGCCAGCATTCATAACATGTAGGCGAATCACTGTCCACCAGACATCCGCGGTAATATTTTTTTTATTTTTATATCTTTTAAAAACAAAGCAGAGTGTGTATGACGTCATCCGCGTGCCGGACTGAAGTTGTGACAGGCAGCCCGGCCCACAGGCGGCTACGCTCTACCCCTTCTATTAATTCGGCTAGCTAATCTGAATCGTTTAATTCCATTTCGAGAGCGAGATCATCTGTGGTAGTAGCACTAGACATTTTCCAGGCATGTGAGTAAAACTAGCAGCAGTTCAGCGGTCATACGTGCGCCGCTTTGTTCTTAAAACATATAAATAATATTACATATTGAATAACATATTGAATTTAATCCTTAGCCTATTACCAAATATTCATACACAGTTTAGTTTGCATAGGTTTCGATTGCATTGGTTACTGTATCAGTGCCAGTAATCCAGTTATAGCTTATTAGTTCCCCATTGTTTAATTTACTCGAACTGCAGAGAATAATTAATTAACAAAGTTGTGAAATACTTAGTTTAAAGTATATTTAAGATGCAATTATTTTAGGAGGGCCCATTCTGCTTTACATCAATTCTCTAAAAATCACCAGAATCAGGAAAATAATGTATATTGTGAGAAAGATGGTCCACATACCTACAGACCACTTATTGTTACTCAGTAACATTTATTGTTTTATAAGAGTTCCACATTTTGTGACTTTGTTTCAATTAAATACTCTGAAAACCTCAAATCTATAGCTGAACCTATCCTCATCTAAGCCTGACGAGGTTTCCTGTCCAAACTATTTCAAAATCTCACCCCAAGGTTTGGTGAAAAGTTGGCAGCTCTGTAATCATATAATGTTTTTTATATCTTAGACACACCCCCTCCTGCTCTAAGGAACAGATTAAGAGCCCATCATTCAAGGAGACGGAGAAATGAAAGTAAATATCTTTTTATTTGTGGTTTTTAGGATTTATTTTTGGTTTTTAAATCAATCTTACTAAAATGCTTTATTTTTCATCAGTAGGAAATCGAAGGAGAAGCTGCAGCAATCCGAGAAACATTTCGTCGGCCATAAATCGAATGGAAGGCATCATTTCTTTACCTCGCAACAGAGCAGAAACTCGACGCCTGGCTTTTCACGCATTCGCAGCCGTCCCCGGGATTCTTTCTTCACCCACCATTAGAGACGAAGACCCCAGACTTCGTCTTTCCACTCTGATTAATGCGTTTTCCATATGTAGAAAGTTTTTTTAATGAAAACAATATTGAACAAAGATGTCGACCCACATTCATCTCAGTTAAACACAACCCCGAATGTTTCTCATTCTAGCGAAAATCAAAATGCAGCACAAACAGAATCTTTTCAAAATACATTAAATATAAGAACCTCTTTAGATGAAAATGTCTCTGAAGCAGTTTTACGGAATTTGGGCAATGAAATAAGCCCTTTAAATGACGCTGGTTCTTCTTTAAATCTGACCTCACCCATAGAAGCTACAAATCTTTCTCAAAATCCACCTCTGCAGCAAGAAAATCATTTGGATCATTTAATTTGTTTGGAAAAAGCGCTGAGCGAATTGTCCAGACAAAACCAGGCAGAAAGAACTCCTTTAGATAAAAATCTTTTACCAATAAACCATCCCCACACTTCTCAGAATATTATTCAATCTGGTAGTGGAGAAGGGGCACGAACCCTAAACAGAGAAAATATCAATAATGTGGAAATTAGGGAACGGCTCTCACTAAATCAGAATGGTTCAGAGGGAGATTTAGCAGAAATATTCATTAGAATGATGAATGTTTTATCCAATCTGGTTGAGAATAAGACTGATTGCTCGTAGGAATGATGTCATACAACTGGAAGTAGTAACCGATGAAGGGTCTCATCACACACTTTACTGTAAATGATAATGGAGAAAATGTCATGGAGGATCTTGAATCATTTTGAATACAATCTAATTCGGTAATAACTGAAAAGGATAACATAGAATTCATTCTCCAGCTGATTCGAAATCCTCATGTGAGAGGCAGACTAAAACTTGAAATAATAATAATCCAAGAATTAATAAAAAGAAAGAGAAGACAATTAATTGTGATCAATAATGAGAATTATCAATTTTGCTTCGCAAAAAATGTAGCCTGGTTAGCATTCCAAATCTCTCCCTTGTAGAGGTTTCTGATCAGGCTAGAGCGTGGCAAAGGCGGGCAGGACTTTCTGATCAAACACCTCTTTCCTTTTCCGATGTAAGAAAATTTAAAGAAATCTTAAACAGAAAGATTGTGATATATTATCGGTCAGTAAAGGAAAGCCCTCTTTCTAAATTTGAGTCAGATTTTTCGGACAGAATAAGACCCCTTTCCCTGTTTCTGTTCAACCAACATTATTACAGAATCAAATCTTTGACAGGTTTTCTCGGTGCAAAATACATATGCTAGTATTGCTTTTCCCCATGTGCAAATAAAGGCAGACTTTCCTGTCAGGGTTTCTTTCCGGTCTGCAACGATCCAGTCTGCCCTCGGCTTGAATCCTCTGCAGTTTTTTGCCCCGACTGCAATCTGACTTGCCACAATCAGACGTGTTATGTGAAACATAAAATCAAAAAAGAAAGACCATTAGCACAAACTTGGGCCAGTAATTGTGAGATACATAAATTGTGTCTTAAGTGTGGAAGAAAATATTATGTTCCTATCTCTACTCCGGGCAAATGCTTTGTTTGCCTACCTCGAAAATGTCTCTAGATTCGGGTATGGGAGAGCACCAGTGTTTTATTCAACTCTGTCAGAAGGATGAAAAACTAGACGAGAAATTTTTTATTTTATTTTTTTTGTCATCGAGACCTTCATTAATGAGGAAAGTGAACATTTTCCTTTCCTTGTGTGTGCAAAAGATTTGTCAGGAAAAGAATGGTCCTCCTTTGGTCTGAAACTGTACAAGATTTTATTCTCTACTTTCGAAGACCAAAGACTTCCAGATTTGTCTTTTTGGCGCAAAACGGAAGATCTTTTGACTATTATCTGGTCCTAAATGCAATGATTCGGATCGGTATAAAACTTCAAATCATCATGCAAGGTTGAAATATTCTTTGCTTTACCAGTCCTGATTTTGGCCTGAAATTTATAGTCTTTTATTTCTTCCTATGAAGCTCAGTGCCATGCCAAAAGCTTTAGGCTTTAATGAGAAGAGTAAAGGTTTCTTTCCACGCAAATTTTCATCTCAACAAAATTTGAATTATGTCCGGCCGCTCCCCCCACCTCAGGCCTATGGGATAGAAAATACGTCACCCCCTGAAAAAAGGTTTTTGAACTGGTACAAAAATGCTTCTGCATCCCTATTCTGTTTTGAAAAAGAGGCTATTTACTACTGTAAAAACGATGTTGAAATCCTTTCTCAAGGCAGTAGGAAAGCCTTGAGACTCTAAAGAGCAGTTCTTTAACAATATGCACAGAGATCCATTGTCTCGTATAACAATCGCCTCGGCGTGCACGAAGATTTTTCAGGCAAATTTCCTGACTTCAAATACAGTCCCAGTACCTGAGGAGCTCGGCTATCACAGAAAGACAAAGCCTTACTCAAATGGTTCGATCGAATGGCTGGAATACATAGCTTTTTCCAGAAACAGCTTCATCCAACACTCCCTTGATTTATTCATTTCCTGATATCTTCTTCTTAGCTTTGCCGATCACGTCTGAGGCTATGCCGCTTGCCGCCCTTTTGAGGTAAGGTTTAGCTGTAGAAAGTTCGTTTTTAAATAGGGGTGAGACGAAACTGAATAATGTTGAAAATATCGCCCCGATCCCTCAGCCGTATAATACCGTGTGCCGTTAAAACCTGTATTCAATCCGATATGCGCCATGGTGTGATTTTTTCTTCCCTATGTTGCAGCAGCTAAAATAGTGCAGAGGGGAGTCTATTGTGAAGTGACAATATGAATGATGCTCCCAGACTTATCTTGAATGATCGGGGAAATTACACAATTGATTGACTTAAAAATCTCTTCTCATCACACGCTCCGAAGAGGCAGGTCTAAAATGTAGTTTAACAATGGTCTTTCTGTAGGTGGAATTAATCGGTACGTTTTGGTAGGATTTTATTTCTACGTGAATATTTTCAATATGATTTTTTGAAACGGGTAAATAGTGGGGAGAGTTAAAATGTTGTGTGATATTATCCCCGTATCGACCTTCTATTTTGTAGGTGCGTAAGAGAGGGGCATAAGCATCGTCCACTACATGTGGAGCGACTACATCGCTGTAGCAATGTAGAAGATTCATACCGCCTTTTAGATGAAAAGGGTGAGGGGATTTTTAAAAAAAAAAAAAAAACATTTTTCACCCATTATGTAAGCTATAGGATGATAAAATCGTAGGTTGAACTGACCCCCTGCTTGATAAAATATCCTTTTTTCAATCGTATTAATCTTAAAATATATATCACTTTCTATTTTTTTCAGATTGTTTTCAATCTCAGCTCTTATTCGCATGAAGTCCTCATAATATCCGGGTGTTATACTCTGCCGAAAGAACTGTTTCTGTCAAGCTTCCTGCCATTCAAAATAGGCTGATTCTGCAGGGACATTAAACCATGTGTGGGGATATGAACTCTCTACCAAAGCAACCTTCCATCCACCTTCTAAATTGATAAGCTGCCCCTAGAAACAGTATTATTTTTAAATATGTCCACGCTGCTGTTAGACAGTAATGTGATATAGAATACGTCTTCATCGCTCACCTGTTTTTCCAAAAACGTGTTTTTGACCTCTGAGCAGTGGTGTCAACAGTACACACATTTGTTACTAAAGTGGAAGTATAGATACTGCTGTTTAAAAACACTCTGATAAAAGTTGAAGATTTAGCTCTATCCACTCTGCCAAGCAGTCATAGGATAAATGTTTATTTCTTTTAGTTGCTGAAATTAAACAGTTTACACAAACTGATAGGAAGATGTTTTCAGTCCATAGTAGATTTAAAAATATATATATATATATATGAATGAGAGTGCAACAATTTGTTTTAGAAGCATTTTTAACATATCAAGAAAAAGTAAAGTTTTGTATGTAAACAAACCGTGAAAAACAAAAATGCAGACAAACATAAAACCAGTGGTATTTATCCTACAGTTGAATTAGCACAGCCAAAGGTCATGCTAAAGAAAATAGTTTGGTTGGGGGTGTGCAGAGCAGACTCGAGCCTGCAGATGAAGCAAAGTGTCAACAACCAGTGAGGATCTACAGCAGAGGTGGGGGGCTGGGTTTTATGAGCACCAGCACACCATGCAGAGTAAAAGTTCTTATCAGAAATAGACTAGTTTATTAAAGGACTCTTAATAAAAAAGCATTACTCATAATACTACTGATTATTGATTGTGACTTGATTTTCGTCACATTAGATTCTGAGATGTAACCAGTGTTCACTGATAATCTAGTTAAAGGATGTAATGCTATTCTTTGTAGAATACTGTAAAATTTATAATCTAGAGTGCTTACTGGATCCAACACAGTTGAAATCCTGATCCTGTAGGGCTTTTTTTTTTACATGGTTTTATCTTCTGCAGACCAGTATAGCCCCGACTAAAGGGTTAGGCAGAATGGTTATATTAAGTGTAACAGTTTACTACCAACATGATGGATGACAAACTTGCATTAGAGTGTACAAACATGATGGTTGCATTGTAAAAAAAAAAATAAAAAATAAAAAACATTTTATTTAAATACATGATTTTCTCATGACTATGTTGATTAATTATACACAGAAATGATAAAATAGATGTTTAAGACTACTTAGAGATTGGCTTGAATCTTGCTGCATTCATGATATTTATTTTCTTCATAAAAAAGATAGGCAGCAAAATGAAAGTAACAGGAATAAAACAACAAATGTTGATGACTAAATAACGGTGAAAGAAGATAAAAAAGAAAAACTGCAACACTTTTCATAATGATGGATCAAATATTTTCTAGTTGCTCAACTGCTAAATTTCATCTCTGCTATACGGCTGAACCAGCAGTAGATGTGCAGTTTCTAATATAAGGTTTACATACAACCGTACAGTGAATGTCACACTAATCTGTTCCTAAAGTGTTGTTTGTACGTTTTTACAGCTAGAATAATAGTGAATAATGCTGTGTTTTTGTTACATGTTCAATCAACCAATGTTTGATTTAGACAACATTGGATAATTCTGCAATAGTTTGCTTCTCTTTTAGATTTGCAACACCTAAAAAGAAAAAAAAGGAAATTGCTCAATTCTGATGACTGACTTCTCTACATAGATCATAGATCTGATCATTCATCCAAACCCACCTATTACCTTCCCTTGTGTAACTCTTATTTCCATGTTAAACTATTAAGATAGAATTGTCTAACAGATACATGCCTTT